CAATGCACACCTCAAGCCACCTTTAAACCCCAATTTTGAAGCCGTCTTGTTACTGAATTTGAAATCATGGTCCTCAGTCCAGCTCATTCCGATGCACGCCACGCCCACTGTGGGCGAGGCTCCGCCAAGCTGATGTGTGTTTTATACTTCTCGAGACCTGGCCCACCCATCCCACACTTGACCCGGTCTCTCTAGGCAGATCTAAAGGAGCTAAGGAACTTCGTGACAGACATACAGACAGACAGACGGACAGACAGACAGACAGACTAAGCGCTTTATAGTAAGTAGGATGAATTAAGGATACGACTAAGTCATTAGCACTTAGTGATACCCTTAAAACATGTCCCAAACCTCAACTATTTCTAAAAATGGACGGGTATGTTTTCCTACTGTTTGATAAATCATTGAGATATTAGGCGATATCACCTCAAAACCTCTTCCTTTTACTCCACTCACTTATTATATTTTCCAGATTGATTCCCGCTGGAAACGCTATAGTATTCGTTTCGAATGGGCCATGCTCTCGGATTAGCTCGAGATTTTGTCTGGCTGTTTATGAGACATTGATACATGCTCTGGCCCATGGGCTGATGTCACAGTTCATTTCATTCTCCTACCGTTACTATATTCTTGTAAACACCAGAATACCGACACGGCTACAGTTGACAACCATCTGCCTTCTTGTTTACGTGCCTTCATTTTTCCTTTACGTGAGTCATTATCTTCAAAGTATCTCTACTATGACCTGTAGAAGCTAAGCTTAAACGGTGGGGAGAGTAGCAAAATTACCAAAAAAAAATCATTATCAAACCTCGAAGCGCAACTATACGAACGAAAGCCTGACCTTTAAAAGTCGTTATATCACAGCAGTCAACCAGGAAAACCATAAACCAGGAAATCTCTTCATTCAGGTCATCAATATTACTCATCACGCTGATCCTGAGATGCTTCGAGAAATGGTGCTACGTTACCATCCAACTTACAACCTCGACAATCATACGTTAACAGGCCATTATTCATTTGCTGAACCATCTAGACTTGTCACCATCCTCTATCTAATTATTCCCAATATACCACTCTACATACTGATTGCTGTATTACGACGAAAGACGTATCATATTCTCGAAAATGCTGCCGTCAGACTGAGGAAGTGCAATCGACGTCTTCATATACAACTTATGAAGGCAAGTCTCTTTTTATGAGTTTTGTTAGTTACATCATAGTTACAACCTACAATTTCAACACTTAGCTGTTAGCACGGCTCATTTCAAAACTACTGAAGAGTTCTCCTAGTGAGGGGATCCATTCTGTTGGAGTGTTCACCACATCACAGACAAAAAAACGAGGTAGTAATCGAAGTTAGGCATACAAGGCATAGACATAGCTAAAAAGAAGTCTTGTACCTACATATCTGCAATATGCTACCCGCACTCCGGTTGTAAGGCTCCAAAGCGATATGAGAAAACCGTTTCGCCCCATAGCGAGAGAACAAACCTAGTAGGTAGGAAAGCATGGCGGGAGTAGTGGAACTGGACTTTCTCCATTGAAAATACAGATAAGCACTAAAGTTTGAACTCTGCAGACACATTATTTCTCAAAGCTCTTGAGCTCAAAAGCTTGGGCATGAGCTTCCCAGTCAGTCCCCCGTTATAGCTTCGGTTACAACTGTTTCCGCCTAACCCAACACGAGGGCTTAAATACTATATATGATTATGAAAGGAAAACTACAAATTGTCTCTCGAGAGCTTGTTTTTTAATAAAGTTTTCGAGGTGAACTTGCACGCCGTTCAGAAGTACTTTTGATGAATCATTTCGTTTGCTCGAAATTCTTATCAAGCTTACGATAGAACTGAAAGAAGTGTCCAAAAGTCAAAGTGGTGGCAGCTCTTTGCATCCCCCTTTTTCAATATCAAGTGCAAATCGCTGCTCTATTAAAAAGTGAGAGAAGCAGCAAGCCCTCGAACGTCAAAATTCAACTTGACAGCGTAACTTTTTTTGCAATTGGGTGATGTTGGGAGAGAGGTGCCTTTGCAGTATGCCTTCTTCTCAATCACATGTTCTCTGCCAACAAGTAGGAAAGTGATGTAGCAAAAAAAGATTTGGAGAGCATCTCAACGTTTTTAAAAATTCCCAGTGGATCATGAAAACAAAAAACTTGATGTGCCAAGGATTCAAACTCATAACATTGCGCTCTTGAAACTTGGGTCGTATTACGTTTTTCGTATTTTGCCTTTACGAAGCCCTCAAGTCTTTATACATAAGAGTAGTTGAGAACGCTGAAATATTATACTGAGATACATCGAACTCCTTTCTAAGAATCCATAAGCAGATATCGAACGGGATCCAGGTTCAGTATCTTTTGATG